TTTGGAGAAGAAATATGGTGCAGATGATGCAGGGAAAAGGAAGTACGTGGTCAGTAGATGGCTGGCATTTAAAATGGAGGATGATAAACCAATCATGGAACAAGTTCATCTCTATGAAAACTTGTGCACGGATGTTTTAAATGAAGGAATGAAGATGTGTGACATATTTCAAGCAAATGTTCTGTTGGAGAAGTTCCCACCTTCCTGGGCTGAGTACAGAAACCACCTGAAGCACAAAAAGAAAGATCTCAACTTGCAAGACCTTATTGGCTACATGAGAACTGAGGAGGCCAATCGATTGAAAGATAAGCTTGATTCGATTTCATCTATTTCTGCTAAGGCTAACCTTGTTGAAACAGGTGGCCCTTCTCATAACACCAGGTTCAAGGGAAAGGGGATAAATCGACAAAACAAAAATCAACACAAAATTCCTAAACCCGAAGGCAAGATCAACAAGAAGGTGGTTTGCTATGTTTACGAAGTTCCTAGTCACAAAGTCTTCCAATGCTCTAAACGTCAAAGCTCTGGACATAACAATCAGAAGAAGGGCAGCAGTTCTGGAGTCGCTCAAGCCAGCATAGCTGAACATGAGGACGTTATAGCTGCAGTGGTGGTTGAAGCAAACTTGGTGGACAACAAAATTGACTGGATTTTGGATACAGGGGCATCAAGACATCCGTGTGCCAACAAGGAGTTGTTCAGGGATTTTGAAGACGCCACTGATGGTGAATGTGTCTTCATGGGAAACTCAAGTACGACAGGAGTCCTTGGAAAAGGGAAGATTATGCTCAAACTCACCTCTGGAAAAACATTAGCCCTTTCAAATGTTTTATTTGTTCCCTCACTGCGTCGTAACCTAGTGTCTGGTGCCTTACTAAACAAGGCTGGTCTGAAACTCGTTTTTGAGGCTGACCGAGTTGTCATTACACGAAATGGGGATTTTGTTGGGAAGGGTTATCTTAATGGGGGGTTATTTATTTTAAATGTTTTGAATGTTGCTTCTGAATCTTTCAATAATGAAAACTGTACTGGTTTTGCGTATATTGTTGACTCTTTTGATGTTTGGCACGGGAGATTAGGACATTTGAATACCAGTTCTATTAATAGACTCAAAAATATGTCCCTAATACCGGCTGTTGAAACTAATAACCTGTCTAAATGTCAAATATGTGTAGAAGCAAAACATCCAAAGAAACCTTTCAAGCAGGTGACTGAAAGACAAACTGAGTTGCTCAATCTTGTGCATACGGATGTGGCTGATTTTAAAAATACCATGAGTCGAGGAGGTAAAAGGTATTATATATCCTTTATTGATGATTATTCAAGGTATTGCAAAATTTATTTACTTAAAAATAAAGATGAGGCAGAAGAGGCTTTTTTGAAATACAAGGCTGAAGTAGAAAACCAGCTTGACAGAAAGATTAAAAGACTTAGGTCTGACCGAGGGGGGGAATATGGGTCTAATTCTCTCAAAACCTTTTGTGAAAATAATGGAATTATTCACGAGTTCAGTGCCCCACGCACACCCTAGCAAAATGGCATAGCGGAGAGAAAAAATCGAACCCTTAAAGACATGATGAATGCTATACTCTTAAGTTCAGGGCTTTCTGATGCCATGTGGGGGGAAGCTCTCTTGTCTGCATGTTATGTACTGAATCGTGTGCCTCATAAAAACTGGACAAAACACCCTATGAACTATGGAAAGGTTATTCCCCCAACCTTGGTTACTTAAGGGTGTGGGGGTGTTTGGCCAAAGTAGGATTACCTGATTTTAGAAAAACTACTGTTGGTTCTAAAACATTTGATTGTGTATTTATTGGTTACTCCTGTAACAGTGCTACTTACAGATTCATGTCACTGCATGATCATACTATTACTGAATCTAGAGATGCAGAATTTTTTGAGCAGGTGCTTCCTTTAAGAAAAAATGATCAGGTCTTCTCTTCTGGTAACTATGCACCTAAAACAACTGATGTGTCTTTGACAGCAACTTCTGATGCTTCCCTGAGTGTTTTTCCAGGTTCTAGAGTAACCACAAACTTAAATATGGATGAACCTAGGAGGAGCAAAAGGCGTAGAATTGAATCAAATTTTGGTCCTGACTTTGTCACTGCTTTTCTATCTGAAATAAATGATCTTGATATTATAAATGCTGAATTTGTGTATGCTTTTTTGATTGAGGAAGATCCTAAACATATCAAGAAGCAATAAGCTCAATTGATGCTAGTTTCTGGAAAGAGGCCATTAATAGTGAATTAGACTCCCTGATTTCAAATGAAACTTGGGAATTGACCAGTCTGCCCAAAGGGTGCAAACCCATCACTAATAAATGGATTTTCAAGAAAAAAATTAAGACCTGATGGATCCATAGAAAAATTTAAATACAGACTAGTAATAAGGGGTTTCACTCAAAGAAAGGGTATAGATTTCTTTGATACCTTTTCACCAGTGACCAAGATTGCCACCATAAGAGCATTGATAGCTCTTGCAGCTATTCATGACTTAGTCATCCATCAAATGGATGTGAAGACTGCCTTTTTAAATGGTGATTTGGAAGAGGAAATATATATGACTCAACCAGAAGGCTTCATGAGTCAAGGCCAAGAAGACAAGGTATGTAAGCTGAAAAAATCTCTTTATGGCCTTAAACAGGCTCCTAAGCAATGGTATGAGAAATTTAATAAGACATTATTAAGTGATGTCTTTGTAATAAATACTTCTGATTCATGTGTATATTCTAAGATGTTTGGATCAGATTGTGTGATCATATGCCTCTATTTGGATGATATGCTTATTCTTGGTAACAATTTGCATGTTGTAGGGATCACCAAAAATTTCTTGTCCTCTAAATTTGAAATGAAGGATCTGGGAAATGCTGATGTGATTTTAGGAGTCAAGATCAGTAGAGATTCCAATGGTATATCTCTGTGTCAATCTCATTATATAGAAAAGCTTCTTAGGAAGTTTAATCACTTTGATGTTGTGCCAGTAAGAACACCCTATGACCCGAGTGTCCACTTGAAAAAGAATAAGGGTCCCAACGTGTCTCAAGATGAATATGCTAAAATTATTGGCAGTGTTATGTTTCTGATGAACTATACTCGGCCTAATATAGCTTATGCTGTAAGTAGATTAAGTCGTTATACACATAGTCCTAATTGTGCCCATTGGAATGCGCTTCACCGTTTTCTTAATTACCTTAAAGGTACTATGAACTCGTGTTTGCATTTTAACAAATTTCCTGCAGTTTTAGAAGGATTTTGTGATGCAAATTGGGTTGCAGATAATGACGAAGTTAGTTCAACTAGTGGCTATGTTTTCACCCTTGGTGGAGGTGCTATATCATGGAAGTCTTCAAAACAAACATGTATAACACGATCCACCATGGAATCTGAATTTATTGCTCTAGAGTTGGCAGGTCAAGAAGCAGAGTGGCTGAGGAGTCTTTTGGCAGATATACCCTTGTGGGGAAAACAAAACACTCCTATCTCTCTTCATTGTGATTCTCAAGCAGCAATTGGAGTGGCAAAGAACACTGTGTATAATGACAAGAAAAGGCACATCAGAATCAGGCATGGTGTAGTCAAACAAATGCTGAAAAATGGAGTTATCACTTTGGAGGCATGGTCTGAAAAGAATTTGGCAGATGCTTTCACCAAAGAATTACCAAGAAAAGGTGTTCTTGATTCATCAAAGGGAATAGCGCTAAGATCCACAAATTAGGTAATATGATGAATAATTTATCTATGAGTTGTATGGTATCATCATAGTCTATGTTCTTTGTTATCAATGGCAGCTTTGTGAATTAATTGCTATGTAATGATGGTAATATGAAGACATCTTTGGTGACATACGTGTTTGAACAAATTATGAGTTTATAGCCATATATTTGGTGGTTCTATTGAGAAGGACTTGATAATCTCATATCATATATACTGTGAGGATGAGTTATACACTCTTAATGGTTCTAATCTTCAGTGGGAAGGGTTTGCTATTGAAAAGCACCTGATAAGGAACCACCTATGTGAGTGTCAAGGCTGGCCACCTTCTATGAAAGATTTGAGATGTTTTTCTAGAGCACTCATGAGACTAAGGTATGCGCATGGCCATAAAAGCGCAATGATAGTATTACCGCGGAGTTTGCACAAATTAAGGATACTATACATGTTGTGGGGGGGGGGGGTTCTCGGCCTAAACCTATGTGAGTTCAAGATGAAATTCACTCATCTAGGCAGAAGTCGTTGCCTCACATCACTACGTGTCAATTCAAATCAAAAGATATTGACACTTAAGTATTCATTCCTTCCTTTGCTCATAAATTTTCCCTTCTTTTGCAAAAAGAGCCATTTGTGGGGGATTGTTGGGAGAATGGCTCTTATTGTTTAAAGTGTCCAGCCCAAATTACTTTCTATTCAAGGGCCTGTTTTCTTTCTAGGCCCAAATATATCTCTTTTCATATTTGGGAAGAAGTGGCAGACCTGGTCTCTCCTCTTCCGGTTTTATTTCCACATACTAGGTAGTGGAGAACTGATTCCGTTAAATGCTTCAGGATATGTGCGAAGTGCATCCCTTTGATCAGGTAAAAAATCCCATAACTTCATCTCCTATTTTTCTGGCCAGAGCAGTTAAAAATACTTCTATAAATTGAGGGATGATTCCTCGAAACTACATACTCGAATCCCCTTTCTCTTCTCAAATTTCTTCTCCTTTAAGCAATTGTATTGTGCAAACTCCATCCTTTCAACCATGTGTGCTCGTGTTTGAAAGTAGCTGTGTAAACCTTGGGGAACGAACCGACAATATATGATTAGCACCGGAGTCGTGCCGAATTTCGTTTTCAAGACAGTGGTCTCCACGACACAGCTTGAACTCTTCTCTATCGATAAGTTTCCTGTTGTTTCCCTCTCCTTTTGCTATTAATAGTTGCTGCTGTTTTCCAACAGAATGCTCCAATTTATTGCATTACACCATCAATAATCCTACCATGCAGGCATGTATATATCTGTTGAGGTTTATTCCTTCAACCCCCGGGTCCAACACGTAAGCCCAAGGATTTCGAATGGAGTGTGTGTGAATAAACTAGCCCAACAAGCAGATAATAGGGGTCAAGAAACAGTAAGGTAGCAAGTAAGTGATTAGGTATTATTATCTCTTAATAACTCCCTAATACAATACTTTTCGCTAAGGCTCCGTCGGCCGTTCGTCTTACAAGGCAGTAGAGGTGCTGCGAGTAAGAATGCTATAACTAGAGTGCTAAGAATAGAAAGTTGCCAACCCTTTACAATGAAATAAATGCTTCTATTTATACCCGCCAATGGGCAGGTGGCTATGCTGACGTGGAGGCCTGTGGACCGCTGGTGTCCCAACCACCAAATCTTTAGCATTAAATGCACTTCCCGCCAGAATCTAGGTTTCCCGCCTGAATAGTGGGGACGTTCGTCCGTCCGGGAAACAAGCTGGATCGCTCCAAGTGACCCTCAAGAGGCCTCGGATGTTCGTCTCCTGGCCTTGATGGATTCCCACCATGTGGACTGGATTTCCTCCGATGACCATGGGCCTGCTTAGGAGACGTTCATCGCCATCCTTGATGGCCCGTGATCCTGCTCCTTGTCCCCTCACAGACGTTCGTCGCGATGGGCCATTGAGCCTAAAAACCCTCCACACAAGATGTTCGTCCCTTTCCAAAGAACATGGGCCTGCGGCTAGCCTTGTGTTCTAACTGGTCGTGCGTCTGGTAGAAAGGGGTTAATGGGCCGGACCTCGGTTTGGGCCATTAACCCAACACAAGTCCCCCACTTCTGATGTTCTGAGCATGCGCAGGACATAAGGAAGTATGAAGTCCCTCGAAGTAGACGTCCGTGTCTTGGTACTTGTATTTATTGCACCCGGTGGAAGCGTACGCTCATGGTCACGGTGCTTAACAGTTGTCGACGGTTCAGGAAACGAGGTGACGGCTGCTGTAGCGGCGGTGCATTTCCCGAGGAAATGTCATCATTACGCTTTCGCTCCACGCACAGCGCGTGAGCCGGAATACGCTCCCCGCCACGTGTCAGCCCCTCGTTGGTTTCCCCATCGGTGTTTCTCCTATAAATGCCGGGTTTTCCCTCTGGATTAGGGTTCTCAATTTCTGCTCTCTTGTCTTCGAATTTCCGCAGCTCTTCAAGTCTTCTCCCGCTTCCAAGTTCGGCTAATCCCTCCTTAAGGTAATTTTCATCTTCTGCTTCTTTTTCTTGTCTTGAACTCTTGCCGCGATGGTTTCGATGGAGATCTCGTCAAGTTCTGGCTCGGGTTCATCGGGTTCCTCCTCGGGCTCCACTTCCGACTCCGGTTCACGCTCTTCGGGGGAAACTAGCACTTCCGGTAGTTCTGGCTCGGCCCCTACCGTGGGAACTGTTCAGGCCGGGGAAGCCCAAACTGGTGTTGTTGCGACTGTCCCGTGTGAGGAGGGTGCTGATTCGGGGGAGCAAAACAGTATGGCTCTCGATGTGGTGGACCCCGTGGCTGAAGACGGGGAACAGGAGTCCGCCAGTGAGGACGGTCGTCCGGACGGATATGATTCTGGGGTCGAGGCCCAGGACGGTTCCGACATCAAAGTATTTGATCTCGGGCTAAAGATAGATGTGGAGAGGCATCTATGCCCGATCAAGAATGTCCTCTGCCACGAGCAGATCTTCTCACCGGTAGCCCTTAACAAGCTCAAGGTGTTCTTCCCCCCTCCGTCCGTATACAGCCTCCGTGGCGCAACCCACGTGATGAGGAGACGCCCAGGGATGATTATGGTGCTTCTGGACTCAATCGAGGCTGGGTTGCGCTTCCCTCTTCATCCGTTCTTCGTGGAATTCTTTTGCCGTTACCAAATAGCCCCCGCACAACTCATGCCGAATTCATATTGGTTCGTCTCCGCCTTCCTAGTCCGTTGCAAGGACAATGGGGTCACCGCCACTTTGGACTTGTTCCATTACTTCTACCGGCTCACCCCCCAAAATTCCGACGGTTTCCTGAGCATTGCAGCTCGTCCGAAACGGAGGCTGTTCAGCGGAGCACCGAGTTCCATCCATGACTGGAAGAATCGGTTCTTCTTTGTGCGGTATGCGGATGCTCGTCTGCCATTGCGTTGGAATGGCTATCCGCCCAAGATAGGGTCTCCGGAGCTGACCGACGATCTGGAGGAGGACATTAGAAAGATCTCGACGGGCGGCATCCGGCCCTTAGATGACTTCCTAACTTTCGAGGCACTCGCCGCGGCAGGAATAGGTACTGCCCATGCTCTCGGACATCTCCCCTCCTACGCTCGTCTCGGGGTACTGGGCGGTCCTGACCTCCGAGGTGAGTTATTCCTGACGCTCGTCCATCTAACACATTTTCCATTTTCCTCTCAGGTCTTCCCCCAACCCAGGAACAGATGAATCACGAGAAGCTCCTCAAGAATCGGAAGGGAAAGGGTGCCGTGGCCGATGCTGCCCTTGCCAAGGCCAAGACCGTTCAAACAGCAGACTCCAATTCCTCCGCCTCACAGGCCGACCGTCGCACGGTGGAGGCGGAACAGCACCTCATTGCCACGGTGATGGCACAGGGGTCCCAGGCCTCAAACCTTAATCCTGGTGCTCCCGCAGTTGTGGCGCCTCTGCAGGCCGTCCATCCCCATGAGGGGGAGAAAGCGAAGGATAAGAAGCCCAAAAGGCCCCGGGGGACTGGCTCTTCGGCCCCCGAAGGGCAAGAGTTGACCCTCCCCTCTCTCGGACGTCTGGCGCATGACGTTTGGCAGGAGATTGCTTCCCTGGCCGGCGTGGAGATGCCTCCCCGGACGTCTTCAGAGGCTTCCAATGCGGCCCTGGCCGCCGCTCTTCAAGTAAGACTTGATTACCTCCCTGCCGGGTGCCTGATTACCTCATCCTGATGTCTTGAAGTCTCACCTTCTGTGTTTGATTTGTAGGTCGGGCTCTCCGTTCTGCAATCAGAAGCCGCCCGGGACGCCGAGGCCCTTCAGGCGAAGAACAAGGCGGACGCGGCCTTAAAGAAGGCGAGGGAGACCGCGCGTCTCCAGGAGAAGGAGATGGCGGCCAAGGATAAGGAACTGCAGGCTGCTCTGAAGGCATCTCGCGAGGCTTCCGCGAAGATCGCAGTTCTGGAGAAGGCCGGATTCAAGCTCGTCCCGGCTCTCCCCGCCCCCAAGGATGAGGCCCCCGAATGGCTCGTCGACGACTCTGGGTATCATAACTCTGGAGCCTTTATGATTGCCGCCCAGAGGTACCTCGGGGGCGCTTTTGGCGATGTATTCGCCGCCGAGCTGCAGAGGCATGCGCCGAAGGACCGGCTCAAGTTCGGGGTCCGAGTCCTGGAGAGTGCGCCCCTGGCCGAGAAGTTCTTATATGATGTTGGGGACAGCTCCTTTGTCATCGGCTTCAACGAGGGGGTAAAAGCCACACTGCCGGTCTTCGCCGCTCTTCAGGGCCCCGGATTCGATCTGGCCCAGCACACCACGGACCCGGAGTTGATACGAGCAGTGGGCAAGCTGGAGAGGGACGCCCGGCGGGAAGAAGCTAAAGCTAGGGGTGAGGTCCCGGAGCCTCCGACCCCCGAGCCTGAGCCCGAGCCCGAAGATGAAGAAGAACCCATCCCCGGGGGGTCCCGGCCCGTTTCCCCGAATTTTGTTTAATGTAGCTTGTCATTTCTTCGTTTTGACTCTGTACTTATCCGGCCAGTAGAGCCGAGGAATACACAACTCCTTTTGCCTCTTCATTGTCTCTACGTTCATGAACTCTTTCTGTTTTCTTTTATCGTCAGTATTATTTTGCTCTCATGGGATGTAGCCCAAGTTCGTGAGGACGTTCACGTCCACAATTCATTCCTGTTTCCCAATTTTTCGGGATACGAACGCATGCTTGGGAGTACCCCACATGTGTAAACCACTCCCCAAGACGTACGGGGTGTGGCCGTACCTCCCGGATCAGAGTTGGTGAAGACGTCCGTCACGTGGTTGTAGGCATAACCATCCATGCTGTGCGCGCCCAACTTCAACTTGGTGGGGCGACGTCCGTCCGTATAAAGATGTGGGGATTATGGATGCACTCCTCAGAAACAATGTCTTGACAGAGAAGTCCGTCGCGTTAGGAATAACATAGCCCTTTTCGCGTGTTGCGGTGGTGCGAAGTATTGAAGTATGAGCATACTCCGTAGGTACGCACGTCTCCCCGTGAGTTCAGCCTGTGGACGTGGCCTCTGTGTGCCTCCATGGGGGACATTCGTGGCATCAAACCGGATTCCTTCGCGGTGATTGTGAGGTGGTAACATCGAGGAGCCCTTAATACCGTGGTAGGTACCGGTATCTAGGCGCCACGTGTTCCACCATGATTGGCGCGATCCCGCGGTGCTGCCTATAAGTACCCAAGGTCTTGCGAATTCCCCATTTGCCTCATCCTTAGCTCTTGTGCTGCGCAACTACTTTCTCTCTCTAGCTTCTCCCTGCATCGCCCCAGGCTCCAACACCCGTAGGTACCGAACGTCGTCATGTCTTTGTCTGGGTTGGAACCCCACAATATTGATTCAAGGACCCGAAACCGCTCGTCGTCCACCGAAGATAGTTTTGACGACGGGTGTTCTTCTGGCGATGATCTAGAGTTTTATGAGCGGGGTATGCCACCTCGGCCCCCCCGCCATCATCTGAATTTTTATGGTGTTCGTCGCCAGCGTCAGCGTCTATTGAATGCGGATCGTCGGCTGATAAGCCAATGGTTCCTCCCCCCAAGGGTTTATGACGATCGTCGTCTGCGCAACCCAATGCGCCATCGGCCCGGCTATGTGGTGGTCCATTTAGACTCCGTTATAGCCGGCCTTCTTTTCCCCCTCCATAGCTTCCATCTAGAGTTTTTTAGAAGCCTCGGAGTGGCGCCTGCTCAGTTTGTCCCTGCCGCCTACAGGGTCATTGCGGGTTTTATCATTAGATGCCACAGTGTTGACGTGACCCCCACTGTAGACTTATTGCATCATTTCTTCCGGTTATCCCCCTTCGGACGTACGGGGTATTTAACCCTGGTTGCGCGTTCGTCCATGGTTCTGTTTTCAAACAACGCCGGGAACCCGGATGGCTGGGAGGAGCGGTTCTTTCTCGCCGAAGTAGGCTCCCCGATGCCATTCTCCGATAGGTGGAACGCCTATCCGGTGAAATCTATCCCGCCGCCCATGACGAATGAGGAGCTTGGCTATGCCAAGCGTATAGCTGGTCTTGGCGTCCAGAACCTCCGGTCGTTGGTAGCCGAGCCTTTCAAGGCCCGGGCCGGGTTAGGTGCGTCTATTTGTACTTGCATTGTCCTGTCATCTTCTAGTTGTTATGGTTCTGAACGTCTTGATTTTCTTCCTGCAGGAGTTTTTCCGTCTACGTCATCCATGGGACGTGCCAACGTTGTTTCGCATGCCCATGTTCGCGAAAACAAGGACGAAGCTAAGGGCAGGAAGCCGCTCGTCCCCAAGATTGAGTCTCGGGCGAGCAGGAGACGATCAGACGATGCGTCAGAGGCCGAAGCTTCAAAGAGGCCGCGCACGAATGGTACTGCCTCCAAAGCCATCATAGTGGCTGATGACTCCGATGGTGAGCCTGGGAGTCCCTTGAAGCGGAGACCCTCCTCTCAGAACAAGCCCCCCGTTTCTCCTACGGTGAACTCTGAGGTTCGTCGACTTCGGGATGAGGATGTTCACGCCACCAAGGGCTCTGACGATGTTCGTCCCCCTTCGCCTTCAGAAACCAACGGGTCTTCCCTCGGCCTCATCGAATTCTCCGGGGTTGGCCCTCGCAAGGAGTCGATGATGCTCTTTGGTCAAACCGCGTCTTCCATCTGGTGTGGCCTCAACCTCAAGGTCCCCCAGGATTTCGCCGCTCATGAGGCCCCCGAAGATCTCCTGGAGTGTGGGCAAAGTACCCTGGATAAGGCCGGGCTGTATTTCCACAGGGCTCGGATGGCCTTCGAGCATCAAGGCAAGGAGATGGCTCGTGTGCGGGCTGAATGCGATGCCCTCTTGAGGAACGCCAAAGGCAGGGCCGGAACACTTCAAGAAAAGGCCGATGCCTATGACAAGCTTGTCCAGGAGAGCATTTCCCAGAAAGAGCTCCTTAGGAAGCAGGAAGCCGAGCTTGTGGACCTTCGTAGCCGGCTATGGGTCGTGGAGCAGGCAAGGGTAGAAATCCGCCGTACAGGTGTGGATAACCATGTCCCCATCTACGAGGCCGATGTTTCGAAGATCAAGGAATCTGGTTCCATCGAGTTCCAGAAATCCAAAGCTTATACTGGTGCCATCCAGACCATGGCCAGGAAGTTTCTTCCGAGGTTCGTCTGTGAGTTCTTGGCCACCTGCCCGGACCCTTATTTAGATGGCATCAAACTGCTCCAGGCCACCCCCACTGGGGAGCGCTTCCTCGATGATCTTGTCGACGACACTTATCTCAAGGGTATGGTCGGGCTCGTGGCAGAGAATCTTCCGGTCTTCGAGCGTCACTTTGGAGCTCCCTTTGACCCTGTAGCAGCTGGTTTTGATTCCTTAATGGCGGACGCCCATAAGGGGGCCCTTGAGCTGCTGAGGGAGCGTAAGGAGCGTGAAGAAGCTGAGGCCAGGGAAAAGGCCAAGCAGGTCTCCTTCAAGGTTCCAACTCCGGATGTTGACCAAAATTGATTCTCCGCTCATCGTCTTGTACTTGTACCCATTCTTTCATTATGTACATTGTACCTTTTATATTGTACTTTCCGGTCATCAGTACCGAAGAATAAAAATCATTATTTGCTCCATGTCTCTCTCTCTCTCTCTTTTTTTTTTGGAGTCTTTTTATCAGTCTTTGTCCTTCCCAAACTTCGTGGGTACTTGTCTCCTGGTTTCGTAGGAGACGTTCGCCATCCCCGCCTTGAGAAAAAACAGGTTTATCCACGTCGGGATTCCCTATCTCCGTTCGTCCCCAGCTGCGAACTACTAGTCTTCTGGCTTCGCAGAAGGCTTTCGTCATGCGCTCATCAGGGGGAGGAACTAGGCTTCGTTCGTCCTTGTCGTGATCCTACTAGTCTTCTTACTTCGAAGAAGACGCTCGGTCAATCATCGATCGCAAGGAGGTCACTGGTTTACCCTATCGCGGGTTCCCTGCTTCGTCGCCCCATACTCGTGGCCCTACTAGCCCTCTGCTTCAGCAGAAGGTGTTCGTCGATCCACGGGTCATGGGAGGAACTGGTTTATCCTGCCGAGGTTCCCTTTGGTACGTCTAGCCTCCCCCACGTTCCTATTAACCTCCGCGTCGGGAGACGTTCGTCACGCGGCGAAGGAAGATCAGGCATACCTCGTCAAGACTCCCTCTCTCATAGGAGCTTCTCTCTCCCCTTCTCCTCTTTTTTTTTTTTTTTGAGGAGGAGGAAATCGTTTCAATAGCACTTCGGCTTTTAATCTCTCTGTAGGAAGTGAAGAACAGAAATAATCCTTTTAATATAGAGACGACGATCGGTGGTGTTACATGGTACTTCGACCAAAATATTACAAAAAGATCTATCTCTAATTATTGGTAGAATTTCTTCAAGTGTTCGACGTTCCAGATCCCAGCGTGGTTCCCCTCCAAGGTATGGAGGAGGAACGTCCCCTGGTTGTATCTTCTCATGACCTTGTACGGCCCCTCCCAATTCTTGGTCATCTTGCCACCCTCGAGTGGCTTGCTCTTCTCTCTCTTCCTGAGTACGAGGTCCCCAGCTTCAATTTCGCGGATCTTCACCGCCTTGTTGAAGTATCTTTGGGTGGCTCGGTGATATTCCTCCATGCGACGAGCCGCTAGGTCCCTTCGCTCCTCTATGAAATGGAGCTCCGCTCGTAGGTTAGCCTCGTTATCCTCCGGCTGGAAGTGCTTCGTGCGATGTGTAGGCACCAGCACCTCCGTTGGCACCTTGGCCTGGAATCCGTATGCCAAGGCAAAAGGTGTCTCGCCAGTTGCCGTCCTTGGGGTCGTTCTGTACGTCCAGAGTATGTAATTGAGCTGCTCCGGCCAGGTGGACGCGTAATCCTCCAATTTCTTTTTGATCCCATCCATGATGGTCCGGTTCATGTTCTCCACCTGGCCGTTGGCCTGTGGGTATGCCATCGAGGCCTTAGAGTGCCTGATGCCCCACTTTGCCAAGTATGCCTCGAAACCTCTGCCGACGAACTGCCGGCCATTGTCGGTGATGACCTGCTCTGGAATTCCGAAGCGGCATATGACATTCTGCCAGAGGAACCTCTGACATTGATATTCGGTGATGGAGGCAAGCGGCTCGGCTTCTACCCACTTGGTGAAGTAGTCAATCGCTACAATGACAAACTTCCTTCCGCCGGTCGTCGTCGGAAGAGGGCCCAACAGATCTATGCCCCATTTGGCGAAGGGTAATGCGACCGTCATTGGGGTATAGAAGCTTGCCGGCCGTCCGGGGACATGAGCATATTGTTGGCACACTGCGCATTTCCGAGTGTGATTGAAGCAATCCTGCTGGATGGTCGGCCAGTAATACCCCTGCAAGATGATTTTCCGGGCCAAGGTACGAGGACCCTGGTGGCTGGAACAGATACCCTCGTGTATCTCTTCAATGACGGCCGCCGCCAAGCTCGGCGGGAGGCATCTCAAGTATGGCCCGCCGAACGTCTTCTTGTAGAGTTGTCCATCAATGAGCTCGAAGTTGGGGGCACGTCTCTTTATCCAAGCCGCTCGTCCGGAGCTGCCATCATCCTCAGGCTTGGGGAGCGTTCCATCCCTGAGGTAGTCTGCGATC